AATATATAGTGAGACCAGCAGGTGGCATGATGGTTACATCACTGGACTCCCAAAAAGTCGACCATGGTTCAAGTCCTGGACCCAACAACTTAAGACTCACGCCAGGCACTGTGCATGTGTCCTCAAGATTCTGAGAGAGGAATGGAGGAGAAGGGACTGTGGAGTGGCCATCCCCCTGGTGAGTAATTTCTCGCTTTGTCTGTCTTTCTGGCAAGCTGTTGTGCCCTATAGCAAAAATCTTTAAAAGAAAAAAAAAAAAAGCCAATATATATAGCTACCACCTATACTTGCTCAATTTTGTGTATTTAGTAAGATTCTACAACTTCTTGGCCATAACTGCAGAATCCCCATGTCAACACATTCTGAGAAATACAATTAAAATACATAGAAAAAAAGAATGAACTGAGTCAAGACAAACTCTCCACATTCTGAGAGCAACTGGGCTTCTAAGCTTGAGGTCTGCTCTAGAAAGACTAGAACTGGAGTCAGCTTTAGCCACCCACATGAGCATTTTGTAAGCATGGACTACCTAAAACTTACCTGAAATTCAAAGTGCACCTGTCATCAGGATTTTTCAGGGCTCTAAATACCTACGTGTCAAACATGCTATGGTAAAGTATAGACACTTCATGTCAAAATAGTTACCAATAAATGAGAGTAAGCAGATTTTTACAATTAACTTAGGTTATCACCGCCATCTTTGACCTTAAAAAGGAGTGGGGGGAGTAGACAGTGGAGTTAAATAGAAGGCTCAAATATTCATTCCCAAGATTATTATATTGCCATTATGTGTGGTGTGTGTGTGTGTGTGTGTAATTGACATATAAAAATACATAAATTAAGGGGCCAACATGTGGCGTGGTGGTTGGGGGCACTAGACTCCCCATGGCCAACTGCTTCGAGTCCCAGACCTAGCAGCTTATTTTCTCACTCTCTCTCACTGTCCCTTTCTGGTTAAATTAAGTAATTAAGTAAGTAATTAAGTAGATAAATAAATAAAGTTAAATAAAATAATTATTTACAAAAATACATAAAAATGAACACAGAAAATATGTTATGGCTTCTAGCTCCCAAAGCACAGACTACCATAAAATTGCTGATTTTCCCTTTATACCTCCTTTTTACAAAGGAGAGCCTCACGAGAACTCTCCAGTGACAGTTCTTTCTTGGGCCTACACAATATGGCAGGCTGTTTTTTGTCTTGGAAAGAACATACAACCCATGTAGAAATAATAAAACCTGGGGACACAGGGGTTCACTTTCCTCCTGTGGTGTTCCTGCATTTTTTTCATATATTAATCACTGTACGTCTCCACAACACACAAAACGAATCTTCCCAGCCTGAATACACTGCCTATCAGTCCAATCGAAGACATTATCATCAACAGATAGTTTTCCATTTTTGTTTCCATGGAATGTTTCCCTTTTTCACCCCAACCCCCTCCCACCCATCCCACCCCCTCTCTCCTATCCACAGTTGCTCTCCATGCTTCTTTACCTTATAATCGTTTCCTCCTTCTACAATGTTTCTAGTACCCACAGTTGCAATTCCTAGTTTTATACTTTACAATCTTTCAGTTTCTGCCATAGAGTGGAGACATTTGATATACTTTAAGTGGGGACATACAATGCCTGTCTTTCACAGTCTGGCTTACTTTGCTTAACAGTAAATCTTCATATTCATTCACTTTCTATCAAATGTCAGGGTTTCATTGTTTTTTTTATGGCTGAATAGTATTCCAGAGTGTGCATGTGCCACATTTTCTTAACCTACTTGTCTGTTCTTGGACATCTGGGTTGATTCTACGTCTTAACAATTGTGAATAATGCAGCAATAAACATGAATGTGCGAGTGTTTTTCCGAGTCAGTGTATTCCTATCTTTTGGGTAGATACCAAGGAGTGGAATTACTGGATCATATGGTAGTCCTATTTGTAGGTTGTTTTGATTTTTAAGAATTATTTAATTTATTATTATTATTTTGAATTGACCAGAAAGAAAGAGAAGGAAAGTGACAGAGCAAAAGCCACCAAACCAGGGACTTGAACCATGGTTGGCTATGTGGAAGTCCAGTACCTTAATCGTCATGCCACCTCCCAGTCCCTATCTGTAGGGTTTTGAGGAACCCCCATATTGTCTTCCACAGTGGCTATACTAACTTACATTACCACCAACAGTGCAGGAGAAGTTTTTTTTTCACCACAGCTTCGCCACTTATTCTTTTTTTTTTTTTTTTTTTTTAAATCTTTGAGAGGTTTTTGCTATAGAGCATGTGTGTTCACCAGAAAAACAGAGAGAGAGAGACAGAAAGAGAGAAATCACCTCCTAGGGGGGATGGCCATGCCACAATCCCTTCTCCTTCACTCTCCTCTTGGGATTTTGGGTACGTGCACACACACGCCCAGTTTGAGTTTCAAGCCACCAGGTCCAGGACTCAAACCGCAGTCAATTACATGGGAGTCCAGCAATGTAGCCATTATGTCATCCGCTGGTCCCAAGTTTTGTTTTGTTTTTTTTCTTTTTAAGAATTATTTTATTTAACTTTATTTATTTATTTATTTATTTTTAATTTGATCAGAGAGGTACAGAGTGAGAGAGGGAAAGTGAGAAAGCAAGGCATCAGGTCCGAGACTCAAACTGCAGTCACCCATGTGGGAGTCCAGCGCCCTTCACCACTACACACCTGCTGGCCTCTCCAGCATTTACTCTATTTTTTTAATCTTAGCCATACTGACTGGGTAGGTGGTATCCCACTGTGGTTTCCAATTGCATCTCCCTTATGATAAGGGATGCTGAGCATGCTTTCATATGCTTTTTGGCTCTTCATATGGCTTCCTTGGAGAGTCGTCTGTTCAGCTCCTTCGCCCACCTTTTTTTAACTGGACTGCTGTGCCTGTGTTTTACCAATTCTCTCCTGCGAGGTTACTCTGCCTTTCTGCTGACCCTCTAGGAAAATCGTTTCTGGAAAATGGGAAACTTTACTAGAACAAATTTAATTTGTTCTCTCTTTAATTGGCCCTCATTTAGTAAAGATGCTAAAGATCTAATGCTGAACAAAGGAATATGCAAACAGCACCCCCCCATATACTTTTTCCCTCCCACTTCATCCCTCCCTGCTCTCCCCTCCACATTCAGCAAAGAATACTTACTCCACTACATTGAGGAAACTGAGAAGACTGGGGAGCAGAAGGGAAGTCTCTCCCGGCATCCCCTCCCTGTCCCTCTGCCTCCTCATTCCCACCTGTGGAATATCTACATCCACTATTAACTCCTTTCCCATGGGCCCTGAGCATGAGTATCTCCCTCATCATGCTGACCCCTCTATGACTAGTTCTGTGGCCATTCCACACCCTGGACCGGAGCTGAGCACCTGGCCCACGGGAGTCAATGCACAACTGACTGGCAATCTTCAGTCTGCAGAACTCTGCCCAGACGTGGCACTATACCAGACCATCCTGGCTAGGAATCTGAGCTGAAACGTACACATGCTCTGCCACTGCTGGGGTAATTGCTAGGACACAGACGTTAGATAACAAGAGAGTCACTCATTTATTCTTGGAATGAGTAATGTACTCTGCCTGCTCTGAGCTGGGCCCTATGACAAGAGCAGGAAAGGTGAAGTTCTCATGGGCCTAACGACCTGTCCATCAACAAAACCACTCAAATAATTCTATAACATCTCTAAGAGGTGTTACAAAATAGTGCCAGAAACCTGAGAGAACTTCACAGGGCCTTAACATAGTGGAAGTGAGAGTTAAGTTGGGGGTACAAGGATGCCATAAATCTAGGAAGAAAAAATAGAATTTGAGAAAAGTCCTCAAAGGAGAAAGAGGGAAGGAATGCAGATCTGAGGAACTGAAAGGTGGCCATGTGAGCCACAGAACATTAGACAGGGAGGGACACACCCCATGTGTGATGCTATTCTGACATGCTATCTCATATCAGAATTATTTCACAGTGATTTAATAGACAGCAAAAACAAAACAAAACAAAACAAAAAACAAAAAACAAAAAACAATGAGGCTAGAAAGAAATCTGAAGTAAGGAACAAAGTTATTGGGACTAGCAGAAGGTATAGTATAGGTTACATTTCTGGACTCTCCCATGACCAACCACAGTTCAAGTTCCAGACTTGGTGGCTTGAAAATCACATTGGGCACATTTGAACATGTGCTCAAGATCCCAGGAGGAGAATGGAGGATACGCATGGCCATCCCCCCTGGTGGGGGGTGATTTCTCACTTTCTGTCTCACTGTGTCTGCCTGTTGTCTCTCTGCCTCTCAGCCACTGTGAGTGCACATGCCCTCTGGCAAAAACCTTCTTTAAAAAAAAAAAAAAGAACTGAGTTATCTTAGTCATAGTTCACCAACTATAGGCATCAGTAAAATTTCCCTCATTTTTATGCTATTTAAAAATCACAGCTCAGGGCCAGCAGATGGCATAATGTTTACGTCGCTGGACTCAACCATGATTCAAGTCCCAGACTCGGTGACTTAAAACTCACGCCGGACATGTGTGCATGCCCGCTCAAGATCCGAAGAGGAGAATGGAGGAAAGGGGTGATGATTTCTTGCTTTCTGTCTCTCTGTCTCTCCAGTAAGCACACACACCCTATAGCAAATATCTCCCAAAAAAAAAAAAAAAAAAAATCACAGCTAAACTATCTGTTTTGTGCAAAATTAAATATATTCAGCTTTCCTGGAAAACATGAGACTAAAATATTTACTATTTGGAATGGTATTTTTTCCCCTGGAGTTTGCTACACTCTGAAGTACATTTCTAATATCAAACAAGGTCTAAACACTTTCACAGAAAATTAGACACATCCTATTAATTTCATATTTACAATAATCTAGATAAGAAAAATAATCATTAAATTAAAAAAATTGTTTTCAAGTAAAACTTTACAATACCTGGTAAAAGAGTTCCTCTTATTTCAAAAGTAACCTGAGAAGGTGTCATTCTGGTGAATTTATTTTAGGCTGTTGTGCTAGAAAGAAAAAAGAAAAGTTGTCAGTTATAGTACGTGACAATACTGGTCTAATGTAGCTACGTTCAAGAAACGACTTAACCCCAGGTGGTGGCGTGACACTCAGATGCTGCTACTGGGAGGCTGAGGCCACATGGTAGGCCCAGGGTTAGTTCTCGGCCCAACCTAAGCAGTCTGCAAGTGGTGAGACCTGCCTGTGGTGCTAGCTAGCTGCCACGCTGAAGCAGGAGGACCGAGATGAGAGGAGACCCTGTCTCTCTAGCACTCACACACACAAAGAACAAACACATTAAACCAAAATTACGTTTACTACTCTTAAAAGCAATATTTAATGTCTTTGCAGTTTTATGCAGAGTTTGTTTAAAAAGAAAAATCTAATTTATTTGATGAGGGTAGTGAGAGGATAGAAGGGAGAAAAAATAAGTTAAGCAAATAATGGGGACCAGCAGATGATGTAATGGTTACATAGCTGGACTTCAACATAGTATGGTTCAAGTCCCGTACCCAGTGGCTTAAAACTCATGCTGGGCTCATGTGCATGTGTGCCCAAGATCCCAAGAGGAGAATGGGGAATGAACTGTAGTGTGGCCATTCTCCCTGGGGGATGATTTCTTGGTTTCTGTCTCTCTGGTGAGCTCACATGCCCTATAGCAAAAGTCTCTCTTTAAAAATAAATAAATAAATAAATAAAAATAATGGGCAGGTGGTGTGGATTGAACTAAGGTGCTGATTCCCACATGGTCAATCACAGTTCAAGTTCTGGACCCACAGACTTGAAGATCACACCAGGCAAGTGCATCCATGAGCTAAATCCAAAGAAGAGAATGGAGAAGGAACTGGGGAATGTCCATCTCCCCATGGGGATGATTTCTCACTTTCTCTCTCTCTCCAGTGGGTGCATAAGCTCTATGGTTAAAAAAGGGGGGGGGGCAGCAGATGGCATCCAGTAGAACTGGACTCCCACCTGGGTGATTGCAGTTAAAGTCCCAGACCTAATGGCTGGCTTGAAAATCACACCAGGCATGTGTATGTGTATACATGCCCGAGATATCAAGGAGGATGAATGGAAAGAGATTATGATCTGGCCAACCCCTCAGGGGATGATTTCTCGCTCTCCCTCTCACTATCTGTCTCTCTCCAGCAAGTACACACACCCTAAGCCAAACACTAAAAATAAATAAATAAAACCTAAAGAGAAAAAAAATGGGCCAGCAGATGGTATGGAGGTTAAGGTGGCTGGATCCCATATAATCAACTGCTTGGTTCGAGCCCCAGACCAAATGACTTGAAAAATACAGCACACGCATGTGCAAGAGTCACCCAAACTCCTAAGAAAATGGAAGAGAAGAAATTGCAGTGTGGCCATTCATCCTGGGGAAGCTTTCTCATTTTCCCTCCCCCCCCTTTGTCTCTCTGGTGAGCACATGAGCCTCGTGGTAAACTAAAATGCAAAACATGAGGCTAGACAGCAGCACAGAAGTAGCAAAGATGGACCCACTATGGCCTCCCTGTGCATATGGGGCATCAAGCCTGTGTTCAGGGCAGAGAAGCAGTAGATTAGGGTGTGGGGACCCTGTTGGGGGTGCCTGTCTCTTTGTTTCTTTCTCAAGAGATAAATTAAGGGGAAAAAAAATGGGGTTGGTCCCATTGCATAGTGGCTAAGCACTGTATGGGAGGAGGCAGGGGGACTCAGCTCTCACATGAACAACCATGGTTTAAATCCCAGCCTCGGTGGACACATGTCCAAGACACTCATGGAACAAAGGAATGGAGGAAGGGAGGCTCCTGCATGTCCAGGACCCATCAAGGAGCACTTTCTCTCTCTCTCTGGCAAGTGTGCACACCTTGCTATTAAAAAAAAAAAAGAAAAGAAAAGAAATATTATTTCTTGGGACCAGCAGATGGCGTAATGGTTATGTTACTTGGACTTCAACGTGTTCGACCATGGTTCAAGTCCTGGACTCTGCGGCTTAAAACTCATGCCAGGTGCATGTACATCCGTGTCCCAAGATCCCAAGAGGAGAATGGGGGAGAAATGATTGCAGCGTGGCCATCCTCACTACGGGAGTGATGATTTCTCGCTTTCTCTCTCTCACACAAACACACGTGCCCTATTAAAAATCTCTCTTAAGGCCTGTGGAGGTGGGTGAGGATCCTGCTGCTGAATTTTGGGGACATATAGTCAAGGCCTGGTGGGAACAGGACTTCTAAAAGACAACTATGTCTGAAAGCCTGTGGGCCAAGGTCTTTTTGCTGGCTATAAGCGGGGTCTCAGGAACCAAAGGATGCACATAGCTCTTCTTAAAATTGAAGGTGTCTATGCACAAGATGAAACGGAATTCTATTTAGGCAAGAGGTGTGCTTATGTGTACAAAGCAAAACACAACACAGTGACTCCTGGTGGCAAACCAAATAAAACCAGAGTAATCTGGGGAAAGGTTACTCATGCCCATGGAAACAGCAGCATGGTTCAAGCTAAATTCCGAAGCAACCTTCCTGCTAAGGCCACTGGACACAGAATCTGTGTGATGCTATAACCCCAAGGATTTAAAATAATGAAAAGTAAATGAGCAAAAATGCATTGTTGTTAAAAAATGAAAAAAAAAAGAAATTGAAAAAAGGCAGTGGTGTGGTGGTTAAAGCAGTTAAGGTGGCTGAAGCCTACACAGCCTCAACGGCTTGGCTTAAGTCCCAGACCCAGCGACTTGAAAACATACTGGGCATGTGTGCATGCATACCCAAAATCCCGAAAAGAGACAGAAATGGAGAAGGGGGTTGCGGCCTGACTCCACCCCATCATGGGGATGCTTCCTCCTCCCTTCTCTGCTGAGCACTCTCTGGCAAGGGGATGCAGCTTCAGGCAAGTTAAAAGTTTCAAGGTCTATTGCCACATACCTATTCTGTAAGAAGAGTAGGACTAGAAATACAGAGCAAAAAATGTCCAAACTTTATTTTTAAGAAGTCAAGATTTGCTAGCTACAAACTTCCGATAAGCAGCTGTTCTGAAGTCAGCCTATCTTTCCTGACCAGGCTCCTGTTATGGGGGGGAGGGACTACAGATAGAAAAAAGCTTGACTCCAGAAGATTTTGACTTCAATAGCAAGGGATGTTAATAACAAGTAAACAGCCCAAGAACATAAATATGGCTGAAACAAACTAGTTACATTCTGCAACAAGTTTGAGAATCGGCCTCTCAGGTACAGTGTAACTAATTGCCCCCCCCCCATATATATCCCTTTTCTCACAAATAACTTTACAGATTTTCTCTTTACTAGCCACAGGGCCATGGTTACTCAAGTTCCACAAGCTCAAATTTAAAATCTCAACTCTATAATCTATTTCCAAATCTTTCTGATACTATTTAATTGATCTCACATTCATGGCCTTCTTTATAAAGTTACCAACATCATTCAAAATTCAGGTCTCCTACCTGTATTTTGGCCTCTAAACCTCTTCCCAATAATACATTTTATGTCAATTAAAATAGTCCTCCTATGTCCTGGCCTGGAATCACTTTATGTTTCAAAAATCTAAACCCCTAAGCCTTGGTGGTCCTTTACTGCTTATCCACATTTGCTGTCTTACGTTTTCATTTCTTCTTTCTCAGCCCACTGCCTGTTAACCATTTCCTAACTTAAGTGCCCGAGGAAAGACAAGAAATAGACCATATATACACATATACACAATAATACCTATTTTTTTTTGCACACACACATATACATGTATATAGGTGTGTATATGTACACCAAAATACCAAGATAGTCCTGGATTTAAACAAACAAAAGTTTTCAACCCCAATCTACCAATGTTTCTAAAAAAAAAATTCCAAGCATGTCTATTATTCTACATTATTTCTATTTATCAGCTTAAATTTTATTTGCTTTCTAATAAACTTTTTTATATATTTTTTAAATTTTATTTGTGGCCATAGGGCACATGTGGCTTGCTGGATACTAGAGAGAGAGAGAAATTGCCCCCTGGTGGGATGACCACGCTGCAATCACTTCTCCATTCTCCTCTCAGGATTATGGGCACAGTGTGCCTTTCAAGTCACCAAGTCAGAGACTTGAACCACAGAGCTGGCCAAATATCAATGCCTTCCCTGCCACATGGCCCGCTGGTGCTGTGTGCATTTACGTCTTACTCTATAAAGCAACCCTAAGGTACATTTCATGGCTCCTCACATTCCTACTTCTGCTCCCTTCCCCTCCCCTTGAACACAGGCATAACTGTGATGGCCACTTAATGAACACGGCTGCCCACGGCCATCCATGTCTCCGAGTCAAGGTAGATACACCGAGAGCAGCTGCTCTCACTGAAGCCAACTTTGCCCTCCAGGGGGTATTTGGTAATGTCAGGAGGCATTTCTAGTTGTCAGGACTGGGAGTGATGCTCCTGGCACCTCGTGGGTAGAGGCCACGAGTGCTGTTAAACACCCTTCTGCAAATAACTGTCCAGCTCCCAAAATCAATAGCTCTGACGCTGGGAAATCTCATCTATCAATCCACAAAAGGTTGTTAACGAGGATCGAGAATATACACTCTATAAATCATGTACCATCACACAGCAATTATAAAATGCTAATGCTGTGTATATATTACATGTATGTAATGCTGGATATTTACATACGTGGATTTATGTGCACTGTATATTCCAAGACCACCAGTCAATGCTGTGTCGTGTCACACTTGTGAAGAGTTCCCTATTTGGCAACTCTACCGTTTCAAAGTCCAAAACAGCACTAGAGGAAGCCTCTCCCTGATCAAAACAATCCCTCAGACACCTTGATCTACTGTGTTCCCAGAGTAAGCGTGACCAAGTTAAAGCGCATACACAGTTCTAGCACTGCCAAAGACCGTGCTAAACCTAGAACTAGCTCCAGACCGTGACCCTCCCACAGCCTATTGTCACCGAACACCCCAACATCCGAATCTCTCCTCCCATGATGTGTTATGAATCTGAACAGAACTCAGTTGTTTCCTTTCTAATGAATAGAATGGTTCACTGAGGCACTGCAACTGTACATTCAGATACCTGTAGGTCAAGAAGAAACCTCAGGTCAAGGGCAAAACCCTGGCATTTAAGTAACTGAATTAACTTAAGAGACAAGAAAAAACTCCATCATTCAGCAAATGGCTGAGTAACCAATCCCAATCCTAACTGGTAATTTATCTTGTATTTGCATCCACTCTTCATTCCCATGGTTCTCCACTAAGAGTAATCTCATAATTATGTAGTTGGTACTCAAGTATTGTTTGAAATATATATTTTAACCAATTCAAGGGAAATCAGGTGTAACTATTCCTTTCATGGATTAAGATCAGCAGTGGATACAAAGTTTTTTTTTTTAATTTAAAGAATTACTTATTCAATTTTATTTTATTTATTCATTCATTTGACCAGAAAGAGACAGAGACAGAGAGAGAGAGGAGGAGGAAAGTGGGGTAGCAAGCCTCCAGATCCGGGACTTGAACCACAGTCGGCCATGAGAGTGTGTCCAACACCTTAACCCACCACACCACCTGCTGGTCCTGCTGATATAAAATTACTTCTAAATCTCTACTGCATGAAGACAAGTGGGAGGGACCAGCAGTGGCATAATGGTTATGTTGTCAACCACAGTTCCAGTCCTGGACCTAGAGGCTTAAACTCACGCCAGGTATATGTGTGCACATGCCCAAGATCCTGAGAGGAGAATGGAGGAGAAGAGTTTGTGGTGTGACCATTCCCCCAGGGGAGTGATTTCTTGCTTTGTCTCTCTGGCAAACACACATACCCTATAGCAAAAATATCTCTCTAAAAAAGATAAAAGATAAATGGGAAACTTCCATTAAGGTTTTAAAAAAGAAAATGATAAAAGTGAAATCAAACAATGATTAAAACTGAGTCTTTCACTCTTGAAGTTCTTGAGAAGAGTGGCTATAAGAACTTGGCATTAGCGACCAGCAGTTACTGTAATGGCTGTGTCGCTGAACTCCCATGTAGTGGACCGCAGTTCAAGTCCTGGAACCAGTGACTTAAACTCACGCCGGGCGCATGTGCATACGTGCCCAAGATCCCAAGAGGAGAATGGAGGAGAAGGGACTGCTGCATGGCCATT